AAGGTGTATAAGGAGAGACTTGGTTGACAAAGATATAATTAATATCATCTTTTTGGAGAGAATTTTTGGCTAAAAGCACCTCTGCTAATAAGTCTAAGATTCGTTTTTTTTGCCGTAATATTGTTTTGACCTTTTTTCAACATTGATTCATTATTTTTTCTCGCTCCTGCTCGATTTTTTGCTTGGCAACTTCGGGTAATTCTGGTGGTATCTCTTCACTAGAAAAAAAAGTTTCTTGGGTTGGAACAATCCCTAAATCCGACATTCCATAACGCAGAATTAGGTCTCGAATAATGCTAGCGGCTTGCTTAAAATCGCTATAAGCACCGATGGTGATATATTCCAAGCCAAAAATTAACTCTTCGCTGGCTCGTCCACCCAAAAAAGACATCACTTGGGCTAGCATTTGGCTTTTGTTAATAAGGTAATCGTCACCTTTTTCTCCATACAAATCAACCCAAGTGTAGCCGCCGGCTGACAAACGTGGAATAATAGTAATTTTTTTGACAATTGTTTCCGGCAAACTCAGACCAATGACTGCATGGCCGGCTTCATGATAAGCCACTATTTTTTTTTTGTCCGGAGTTAGAGTCTGGCTGGTCCAAGAAGGTCCCATTAATACTCGGTCAAAGGCTTCAAAAATCATTTCATAGTCAATGTATTTTTGGCCGCTGCGGATGCTTAAAATAGAAGCCTCATTAAACATACTGGTAATTTGTGCTCCGCTTAGACCCTTAGTCAAAGACGCAATCTCTTCCAAATCGACATTAGGTTTTAGTAACAGTTTGCGAGCACAAAGTTTAATAATTTCTCGTCTGCTTTTTAAATTGGGAGAAGGGACATAAATCTTGCGGTCGAATCGGCCTGGTCTCAATAGAGCACTATCTAAAACATGTAGAGAATTGGTGGCTGCTAGGACAATAACATTATTGCGAGGACGAAATCCATCCAACTCAGTTAGTAATTGATTTAGGGTCTGTTCAGCATGCCCAGAATGGCCTGAGTATCTTTTACGACCAATTGTGTCAATTTCATCAATGAAAACAAAGCAAAATCCATATAATTTAGCCAGTTCACGGGCTCGGCGAAAAAGGTCTCGCATCCTCCTGGCTCCTAGTCCTACCACTGACTCCTCAAACTCGGAACCCGAGCGAAAGAGAAAAGGTTTTTTACACTCGCCAGCGGTGGCTCTAACCACTAAGGTCTTGCCGTTGCCGGGCGGACCATATAATATTGTGCTTGTAGGAACCTTGACTCCCTTTTGTCAAAACGGTCTGGGATTCTTAACGTAGTCGGCTATTTCACCCAGTTCCTCTTTTACTTCATCATAACCTCCTACATCTTTGTAACCAATTTTCGGAACATCTGCTTCTCCAGTTCCTCCTCCCCAATTGCGAAAAGGATAAGCAATTGCCCCAAGGATATTGGTGCCAAAAAACATATCAAAAATGTAAAACGCTACTAAAAGAGAGGCCACAGTAGTTATCAATTTGATTGCATTCTCAAAAGTAAACCACGGTTTTTTTTCTTCAAAAAGGTTAAACTTATTATGAGACTCAATGATGGCAATTTTGATCTTTTTTGGGCTGGTGAATCCGACAAAATCGATATCTTTGTCTCTTACTTCGTATGGTTCGAGTTCACAAAGAGCATTATAAATAGTAGACTTGCCGACCAGCCTTTTGAAGAAATTTTTTGCTTCTCCGTAAAGCCGATAGTGGCCTCTTTTTCCCCAGGGATGGGCAGCATATTCAGCCTTTTGTCAGTTTATTTTAGACACTTCGTCTTGGCTCAAGCCTTCAATTTCCAAGGTTCCACTCTCTTTCTTGCGTAATCCAAAAGTCTTTTGGTCAGGATCGGAAAAACCTTCTATGAGTAGAACCACACCGATAATGAGAAAAAGCAGGATTAGCAATGAACCTAGCCATTTTCCCGTTCCTGAGGACTTTTTATTTTTTTTTGCTGGTGGTAGGTCTTTCATTGTTGTAATTATTAATATATTTTTTAGCCACGATATGGGCTTGGTTAGGAGTCTTGACTATCTGAAAATCATTTCCTAACTCAATAATCAAATTAATTTTGGGGCTGATAAACAATTGTTTGTAAACCTCACACAGAAGTTTTTTTTTTCGTTGGTGGAGAATTCCGCCTGTGGCCCGGTTAATTCAAAAATAGAGCAAGCGCAAAAATATTTCGGTCTCGTATTCATTTTTTTTGACAAGTTTGAGAATTGAATGTGAAATAAAAGGCATTCTCGGAGGGTGAATAATTAATTGGCTAGCGGCCGTTTGCACAATTTTTTTAATTTTTTTTAACTCACGGTTTTTTTTTTCAATTTCTTTGTCTAGCAGGACCTTTTGTTCGGGGGTTAAGTCGGCTATTTGCTGGCGGATAATATTACGCTGATAAATCGGTAATTGGTTGGTGGTATCAACAGCATAATCTATTTTATTTTCAATTAGATATTGACAAATTTGCTCTTTGCCAAGAGATAGAAGAGGGCGGAGAACTCAGCATTTTCCGTGTTTGGTTCGGGCTGGTAATCCTCAATATTCTACTAATGATTTTTTTTGCTTTTGGAGCAGATAAGTTTCGCGATGGTCGTCTCGGTGGTGGGCAACGACGATATATTTAGTTTGGTATTTGGCGGCTAATTTTTGAAAAAAATTGTAGCGGATTTGGCGGGCTCGGTCTTGAAAATTGCTGACTGAATTGTATTCTGAATTTTGAACTTGGTAAATTTCGCAGGGCAAAGAATATTTTTGACAATAATTTTTCACTATTTTTTCGTCATAATCACTATTTTTTCTCTTTTTATAATTAACATGAGCAACTGCCAAATTGTATCCCCCAAGGCGCATTTTTTCAAGCAAAAATAGGCTGTCTGGACCACCAGAAACAGCCAGAATATACAATTTATTTTTAGCAAGCATTTTATTATCAATTAGCACCGAAGTCATTTTTTTATTTCTTGTCTAGTTGTATTAGAATTT